ACCTTGTGACTTTTATTTATTTCCAAAAATTAAGAACCAGTTACGCGGTCAACGATTTTCAACACCTGAAGAGGCTGTCGAAGAGTATGAAAAATAAATTTGAGAGATTGTCACGGAGGAGTGGCATAAATGTTTTCAAAATTGGTTCATTCGTATGAAAAAGTGCATTAACGCTAACAGAGAATATTTTAGAAACAATAAATTCATTTCTAACCATTTCTAGTATTTTGTCTTATTCATTCCGGAAGCTTATAGAGCGCCTCACGTATTTATTGATAATACTCACGTAACTGCCTCCGTGGCTGAATGATTACCATGACTGCCACGCAAAGGTCCCAGGTTCGATTCCCGAGCCGGGAGAAATATTTGTATGGCCTACATTTATTTTTTTCGTGAGTTTGGGTGTAATTTGTGTTGTCTGTGTGTGTGTCCATGGCACCCGCGTTACAGGCTTTCCCTAGTGCGGGGCTACATTGAGTGCGTGCGTTATTATTTTTATTATATGTATCTCTAATTTTTTCTTGCACACTGCGTTTACTTGCAAACTTCAAAGAGTATCCGAGGTCAGACATCTGTGGGTGCATGTGGATAGTCAATTACAACCATGACATCTCACGATGAAAAAATTACTAGTAAAGCTTTTAAATAACTAGATTTTATATTTAGACAATGCAGCGATTTTACCCTACTGACAGAACAGTTTGAAATTGTTCGTCCAGGGAAGTACCTGCCTCCTTACCTACATATTTCTGCCGCCAAGCAGTAATGTCAGCATTACTGCGTTCCGGTTTAGAAGGGCAAGGGTGCTGGTGAAATTAAGGGCACATGGGACTTGTCAACTTATGTCTCAAGGTAACGGGCGCAGTGGCAGTGCCCCTCAGATCTTTGCGATTGTTATTGACAGGTGTGTCGCTTACCATCAGGCGCACGATTTGTTCGTCCTGTCACTTGATATTACAAAAATAATCTAATCTAGAGTATGCATCTGCTGCTCGTAACCCCAGCTATAATAAACAATTCGCCATGATCAAGAGAGTGCAAAATAAATTTGGCAAAATATTTAATTATAAATATTGGAAATTTAAACCTACAAAAATGGTTCATTTTGCTATTTCTCCAATTGAAGGCGTTTTTCTCTCAATATACTTCGAGTAGTGAAAACCGATTTTTTATTATCTCCTGTGTCAAGTCCTGTATAGTGGCGGATTAGGAGATATTTCAATAAAACTTAGCAAATAGACGTAATTCCACGTACTTTTGAGGTCGGTTTTTTTAGTACTCTGTACTGAGATTATTCTTTATCTACACACATATCATAAACCCTCTATGATTTGTTCAAAAACCGAAAATGACGACCAGCATAAAGATACTGTTTTGTTAGAACAAATTTCTTATCTGTGAAAATGTTATTATTGGTTAGTAATAACATCGGATTCGATTCTATTATTACATTCAAATTTCGAACATCTCTGAAAAACAAAACAATTTGATTCGACCTCAATTCTAAGACCAGTCGAGATGAAGTTTTATTCGAAATGAAATGTTCATAGTAAACAATTTTGATAAATTTTGAAAAATTTCACAAGGTTAATTTAATATCCATATGTAAAATTTTTACACTTGAAAACGTCATTTTTAAGATACTTTTTAAGCTACTGCTCGTTCACTACGCTGACCTCTCTGAGAAGAACGAGCAAGAAACTCTAGGGATTGCTCTTTTCAAATAAACTTAAATGTTATGGAATACACTTTAAATCATAATTGTGTGGAATCTAGACTGTGTGCCCCTCGACGCTATGCCAACTAAGCCACGGAACGAACTAGCGGACCGTACAATTTTTGTAATGTAACTTGTTGCAGACTTAGAATAATAACGCATAGAATGATAGTTTCATATCAAACGAACCGTCACAAGTGAGGCAAAAATCAAATTCATGTAGGCTAGTTTTAGTAGTAGGTTAATTTTCGGTTTTAGTGAATATTTATATAAAAATACAAGTTGAACGTTACTTCCTTGTGGAATGTGATGTTAGTATCTATTTTATGTTTGTCTGACTTATTTTTACACTCATTTACCGCACATTTCGTCATTTTTAGCTAAAATTCTTGAGCTGTTCGCGGTGCAAGTTGACCTTAAGCACTGAAGGCCCGCCCGCTCGTGTCGCCCGCCCTTTGGGCGCGCTTCAATTTACCTCACTTAGCGTGTGCGGACTAGGTTTCTTTGCGTTATTATTCTAAGGTTGCAGGTCTTTGTTTTTCGTTTTGAACGCCTTTTTGCCGTAGTGCCATCTGTGAGAAATCTGCTTATTTTATTATGTTGTAAAAGGTCATGAAACGAAAGATATTGTTTATGTTATTTATTAGCAACACTAATTTTAGTGAAGCGACGTGTTATTTAGCTCCGCTATTTATCGAGCCTACAGATTATGTAACTATATTTATTCAAGTTGATAAATTTTGGTCATCGTTGGCCTGTGTTCCGTGGCTTGGTTAGCATAACGCCTGACACGGTTTACTAGAAGGCGTCGATTCGAATCCGGCGGATCGAAGGTGTTCGCTCCATGTATTAATAATTATAACAAAGTATTGTAGGAATTTAACAAAAAACAATTGAATATTAAGGTGGTGAAATATCCTGACATTCAATAAAACACATAGGCTTAACTCACACTGGCGCAGAGTCGAAGCGTCGCGTCGCGTCCTGTTTTTCAAGTACGACGCCTGGCGACGCGTGTCGATTCTATAACTCGTATTTATATTAAAAACTGCATTTTCCTCGCAGGATGAAAATCTAGATAACAAACGAAGCGATGGTGGTGGTGTTTGGTTCGGACCTCGATTGGGAAAACGCGCTGTGGAATTTGCATTCGAAGACAACAGGTTTGGCTTTTTTTTACCGATATAGTAGTAAAGTAGACCTTAGCAGCAGTAGAGCTTCTTGTAAAAGAGTTCGTCCTGGAAAGTACTGTCATTTTACCTATTTTAGCTGCAAAGCGGTGATGCGAGCGTTAATGAGCTCCGGTTTTTTCACACTCATTTACCGCACATTTCGTCATTTTTAGCTAAAATTCTTGAGCTGTTCGCGGTGCAGTTGACCTTGAGCACTGACGGGCCGCCCGCTCGCGTAGGCTCATTGGGAGCGCTTCAATTTGCCTCACTTGGCGTGTGCGGACTAGGTTTCTATGCGTTATTATTCTAAGCTTTATTATTATATAAGTTATTATTTACATAACATTACATAAATGCAGGTATAAAACAGATGATAAACGCCGGGAAAATGTTCTCTTTACACCTAGAATCGGCAGAAGCCAGTCTGACGATTTGCCACGTGACGATTACTCGTAAGTTCTTCGCCGGAGAGTTCAATTTCCGTTGATGTTTTCTATTAAGTTTTGATTGCATGTTTGAAGGCAATATTCTATGGAATATCTCTAACACTCTTTGACGAGTTTTGTTTATATAAGTAGTTTTTCGTTTTGATGGAAGCAAAGTATGTTAAGGGCGCTTTCTCATTATGTCGTAACGATTTATTTATCATTAGTCGACTGTCGCGTCTAGCCTGTTCCCATTATCACGACTATCTGTCGTGACTGTGTCGTGGACGTTTATTTTATCGTTGAACAACTGTCGTGTCTAGCTGTTCCTACTAGATCGCGACGACGGCGACGATTTATCGGTTCACCGTAGCCGCTTTGTCGTTGACACGACAGAATCGTTTGAAGCTGCGATTATTTGTCGTCACATTTTATTTATCGTTGGACGACTGCCGTTCTAGCTCTTGCCGTTCTCACGACAGTCTGTCGTAGTAACAAAAAAGTCGTAAACGACAGTCGTGTTGTTCTATGTGTGAACAACTTCATTTAAATGTACAAGCCATGACATTTTAAACTGTACGACTGTCAGTCGTCACGACATAATTAGGACGCGCCCTTACACAGCAAACTAGATACGAGTAGAGATAAAAAAAAACTGTTAATTAATTTGAAATGTTCTGACGCTGTGCTTTTTTAAATGGAATAATGTTATTTGAACCTTAAAGATGTAATTGATCTATTTTAATGTGACCTTTACTAAATAAACGATTTTTTAATGTTTGATGTATATATATTAATTGTTCCAACTATTATAAATGAACTGCATTCAAGGTAACACTATGATTATATTTAAGCATATTAAATAAATATTTGGTATTTAAAAATAACATTTGATCCTCATTTTTTATTATTGGTCTTCTCTTTTAACGATGGATGACATTTATAACCAGTATATCTATTGATATTGATCTCCTAATAAATGTTAGTTGCTTGGTTGCGCCCTCCATTCAGTAGGTTAGGTTAGTAGCATATGAAAAAGCAGACTCCAATTTGCTTGCGTTTCCGAAAATGCTTTCACGTCAAATTATATTATAATTAATATAGTATTGGCATACAAATATAATCAACATTTACTTAGTTTTAAAATAGTATTATAACGCCGTAATGGGTTATTAGCACTCGAAGCGAGCAAAATTTTGCCGCGTTCGCCTTCTTTTTTTTTTTAATTCATTTATTCAAAAAAAGTTTATACATTTACAACAGTACATCTCCCGCCAAACTGGAAACAGTTTGTTGGCGAGCACGCTCTCACACATTATATGTTAATTCTTAATTAATGAATTAGTAGCGCACAATAAAAACAACAAACAACTAATATAATTAATATAACTGAACTTAGACTTAACTTCTACTAACTATCCTAATAATATATTCTGTCAGCGCTGGCCGTACACCACCGCTTCCTCGCCTTCCGCGTTTCGGGCCGCAAGATGGCGGAGACCCCTGTTCGCGTCACACGCGCCGTGCTACTTTTTTTTATTATAGACTGACTTGTAACAATAAAATTCGTGTAACAACTTCAACATTTCAGTGATTTAAGTATTTTTAACATTATTGGAGTTTTACAGTATCTATAATATAATAAATAGTTTTGTTTGTTTTTTGTTTATACTTGGCTCAACATAAGGTTGCCAAAGTTAATTTTCAAATCAAACATTTCAGAACAAATTAATATATCTATTGATTTAATTTATTTTATGTCTCAGAGAAAGAAGATCAATGATTAAAAAAGATGACCTTTTAGTTTCTTTTGCCTGCTGCTTTTGCAAACTTAAGATGATCATTTAAATACATGCCTTTTTAATTAAGTATGCTTATCTATCTAATCTACCGTGTATGGGTAGTTGAAGAGGACACGCAATAGACCAGTTGCTCCCAAACTTTTTTGTCTAGTATTTTTTATACCTTCTTTACTGTCTGTCGGTGTTATGGCGTTGTAATAAATGTTTTCTATTGTATGGTACTCTTTTTTGGTCTTGTTACACGGACGCAAAGTTTTTTCTGAATACAAATGCTGTCACGCTGTCTGTCGCGAATAAGCTTAATAAGTCCCTAGGTAAACAATAAATTTTACTTTACAGAGACCGCGCAGACGCCGCAGTCGATCCGATGGATAATAGGGTGAGGTATTTCTCACCAAGACTTGGTCGGACTATGAATTTCTCACCAAGACTGGGCCGGTCTATGGATTTCTCACCAAGATTGGGACGGGAGCTCATCTATGGTAAGTAAGATTACTACGATACTCCAGACATACTTCAAAGGCAAGTCAAACAATCTCAAGGAATTCGAGAGTTGCACAGAGGGCCATGGAGCGTGGCATGCTCGGTATCAGCCTTGTAGACCGAGTTCCGAATGTCGAGATCCGACGACGGTCCAAAGACCAGTATGCTGGAACTTGGAACATGGAACTTGAGTGGAGTTGGACGGGACACATAGCAAGGCAAGCTGATGACGGGTGGAGCAAGGCATTGGCTAATTGGAGCGCCCAGTTGCAAGGCAAGCAACAACGTAGTACGCGTCGCGTGGCGTCAATGGACGCGGCTAGGACAAGATCGTGGTATATGGCACAAACTTCGGGAGGCCTGTACCCAGCAGTGGGTAAAATCAGGCTGTGGATGATGAGAAACGAAAACGTTACTCAATGGAACAATAATCAGTTTATTACGTATGCTTGACTTCCATACATTTAACTGCGGAATTATATCGTGATTCATATAGGTAACAAAACAAGCCTTTCTCGATTTTGTACGTTTGATATTCTGCTAAAAGTTAGCGCCTTTGCGCACTTCATCCGATTCATATTCGTTTCAAATCCGAGAAATGACAGTCCGAAATGTCACAGGTGTCCGAAGTGTCATTTTATCTCTAGGTGTACAAGCGGTAGCCCGGGCAGCGTCGTGGTGAATGTTTTTTGATCCCACGACGTCGACCGGCGAGAGGGAAATCCGGGGGGGTTTTAGTGGGGTAGTTATGCGGGGAGAGTCCCTACATAACCCTGGGGTCAGGGGTATCTATAAAGATTTCCCCCCGTCAAAAAAACAAGGTGCACAAGTGGTATTCGTATTTTTTCATATTGGAATCGGACTTAGTGTACAAGCGAAATCCGAAGTGCGTCCAAGTTTTCTAGATTTGCATAGTCGCGGATTCGGAACGAATACAAACTGGCGCCTAAGAGTCACTACTCTAGTGACTTATCAGTGGCTAGCCATGGCTACCATAGATGCGAGCTACTAATCAACAACCTTTGCATTGTTTTGGTATTCTGCTCCTCAATTGCGAGTCGATGGCGTGGACTACTAATTTCTTCTTTCTGCCCTTATCCCACGCTAGGTGGGGTCGGTACAACATGTATTTTTCTTCCACTCTCCTCTATCAGCCATCAGTTTTATACTCACACCTTTCTTATCCATATCATCTTTCACACAATCCATCCATCTTTTCTTTGGCCTTCCTTTCCCCTTATATCCCTCCACATTCATATTTAACACTCTTCTCGTCACATGATATTCTTCCCTTCGCATAACATGTCCATACCACGCTAACCTCTCTCAACTTTTCCGTCACTGGCTCCATTTTCAAACTTTCCGTGATTTACTCATTCCTTATCTTATCCTTTCTCGTCACTCCACACATCCATCTCAACATTCGCATTTCCGCTACGTGCACAGTTCATTCATCATCCCTTTTATATCACCCAACATTCTGATCCATACAGTACGACAGGTCTAATCACGGTCTTGTATATTTTCCCCTTTAGCTTGAGGGGCATTCGCCGATCGCAAATAGTGCCTGTGACCTGTCGCCATTTCATCCATCCTACACTTATCCTGTTCTCAACGACCCGGTCTATCTCGTCGTCGTCGTTCTGTATTAACGAATCAAGTTACCGAAAATCAGCAGGAGCGGACTAGTAGGGATACACCATCTAAGGTAATATTAGTAAAACTGGAAGCACCGCCAAGGCCCAGGAAAATGGCATCATTCATCATCATCATCATTTCAGCCAAAAGATGTGCACTGCTGAACATAGTCCTCCCTCAAAGAATGCCACAACGAGCTGTCCTGCGCCGCTTGCATCCAGCGGATTTCCGCAGCCTTCACCAGAACATCAGTCCACCTTGTGGGTGATCTGCCCACGCCGCGTCTACCGGTACGCGATCGCCACTTAAGAACTTATTATAAAGAAATTATTATAATAAATTAAGTTTTCGAATAAGAAAAAAATACTATTTTTTTTTTATACATGACAGGCAAATGACTCCACTCCACCTGAAGTTAAGTGGAAAGTGGTATCCAAACGCGAAGGAACCTAGTGCAGCGATGAAATCCTCACTGCACTAGCCACCTCCACCCTGCCTGCCTACAATATGCCTCTTCACGCCTCGTTTGAAGGACCCCATATCATAAGAGGGAGGGAAGACATGTGCCGGAAGGGAGTTCCATTTGTCAACCGTGCGGCAGAGAAAGGAGTCACCGAACCTTTTAGTACGCGATGGAATTCGGCAGGTAGTGAAACGGTGACTACGAAGGCCAGCAGGCGTGCTTCTGAGCAGGAACGGGGAAGGGGGGATGAGGTTGAACAGCTCTTCAGAGCACTCACCATGATACATGCGGTAAAAGGCGCTAAGCGATGCAACATCTCTACGCAGTTGCAGAGGTTCAAGGCGTGATGAGACCTCTTCGTCGCCTACAATTCGAGTAGCACGACGCTGTAATTTATCCAAGGCATCGAGTAGGTACTTGGCGGAGCCGTCCCACAAGTGCGAACAATACTCAACGCAAGACCGGACCTATAAATGGTCAGAAATGAATTTATTGGTTCTTGAAATATTCTCCGTTAGCGTTAATGCACATTTTCATACGAATAAACCAATTTTGAAAACATTTATGCCTCCTCCGTGACAATCTCTCAAACATATTTTTCATACACTTGGACAGCCCCTTTAGGTGATGAAAATCGTTGACCGCGTAACTGGTTCTTAATTTTTGGAAATAAATAAAAGTCACAAGGTACCAGGTTGGGACTGTACGTGTGATGGCTCATAAGGTCAACGTTGTTCACCTTCAAAAATTCATTTGTTTGTCTGGCCGTGTGAGAACTGGCATTATCGTAGTGCAAGATGATACGGCGTTTACGGTTATTTTTACGGAGTTTGTCAATAACTTACGGCAAACAAATGGTCGTGTACCAATCACTATTCACGGTACAAAGATTCTCCAAAGCAACAGTAGCCACGTGTCCAGTTTTATTAAAAAAGAAGCAATCATCTGCGTAGAGGCACTTTGCACGTGCGCCACTTTGGTTGGATTCGGCTCATCTCGAAAGATCCATACGCTCGATTGCTGCTTTGTTTTGGGATCGTAACTATAAATCCATGTTTCGTCACCTGTTATTATATCCCACACCAAATTTGATGCCCCTTCTTTGAATCTGGTAAGCATGGCACCTGAGGCAACTGAGGCTCAAATACGGATCGCGTCACTTGGTGCAACAAGTGACGCGATCCGTATTTGAGCCTCAGTCAAATTGTGTGGGATCCACCGAGAGCACAGCTTTTTCACACCCAAATGTTTGTGTAGTATTGATTGTATTTGACTCATGCCTATGCCTAAAGATGCCCGAATCTCATGGTATGTCACATGCCTGTCTGTTTTGATCATACGGCGCACAGCATCGATGTTTTTGTTGTTCACAGCAGTTCAAATTCGTCACTGAGATTCACGCTATAAATAGTCGTCTTGCATGGTGCTTCATCGCCAAAAGCAGTTTGAAGCCTAGCGATTTAAAGTCGTAGAAAATCATACTACGAAAATTTTCACGAGTTAAATCCATGGTGATGTAGACAACCAATTTCTAAAATGACGCCACAATGTAAAAACAAGTGACAGTGAGATGAAACAATCTGTATTCCATAGCCAAAGAGTTCCATTTTCAAATGTTGTAATTACTTTTTAAATATTGTTTATGTAAGTGGCCAGTTCCGGAAACTTATAGTGCGCCCTATGTACAGCAAAAATAGGATACATAATATCGTTGTTCAATGAAGGCCTATCTATAGGTGTTTTCATAATTTTTATATCTTATTTCGTTTCGGACATATAAAATCGAACACCGGTCGATCCGACATCCATACCGAAGAACAACGAACGAAATGTACAATGTCCAGAGAATAATCAGATTTGCACACAAGTCTTTGGTCTACAGAGGAGTTGATATTATCATCAATACTGAGGGCCGAGCGGTTGGAGTCCCGCCGCAGAGTGCCGACCGAATATCTTTCACCCTTCGTGAAGGAAGAGTTTCGGCCGAAGGGTGTCATGTATCGGCGATTCCGAGGCCGGTTACCAGACACCAGATTGCGCCACACGTCGCTGACAAGTGCAATTCGTGTCGTGTTAAAATTTATTGTATGTATGTTATTCTTTAAGGTACATATTTATGGGTCTTTGTAACCTGAATACAAATAAATAAATAGTTGCAATATAATGCCAGTGGAGTCTCGACGGAATTACAATGACCAATGGTGCAAAGAAAATTAACAGAATTGGGGCCGCGGTAGATCGCGCCTGCCGTTGAAAGTATTTTCCGTATGTTCCGATTTGCGCGAGAGTGACATAAAGCGCGAGATACTGCTATATAGATCGTTCTCTCGTTCGTGCTAGGTCTACTGGAGTCAAACATTGTTACTCAAAAGCCTGACAGTGAATTTCTCCAATTGTGTTTTTTTTTTGTTTCAGAATTATACCCTGACAAGATTAGAGTTGCACGGAGCGCCAACAAAACGAAATCGACATAATTCATTTAAAATCTTACCTCTCTAGTACTTATATTACTAAAAAAAAAATAAAAAAAAATAGCCTTTAGAATAATGTCTTGGACGAAAACAGATTTTGTTAACAATTATACGCTATTGTTCTTATAACAAAATGTAGCATAAAATTATATTAAATCAACGTGCAAATAAACTAAAGCGATATTATTATTTACATTGTTTTCTTTCATATAAAAAATGCAATAAAAATGTCGTTAAATAAAAATCAAACGTTTCGCATTCATCTTTATATTTTGCGAAATGACATTTCAATACCGGGATTTATATAAAAACTGAGTGTAGTTTAAAAAAAGACAAAATATGTACTCTTTTCGATTATGTAAGTACTCTCTGTTTACCACATTAGAGTTACCCATCGTCATTGGTTTTCGTAAACGGTAACTATAACGACTTACTATACTAAAAATAATCTAGGATGATCCTTGTGACACTTCATAAAAATCTATACGACAGAACCTTGTAACGACGTGCACTGTCTTAATTTTTTACAACAACATGCAAAGGTAACTTCATTACACTGTATTTGCTAGAGATGAAATATATCCATAAAAAGTTTTCGATAATTTAATGAATAAATGTACAGCGCGTGTAGGTTCATTCTTAAAATCATAAGCAATGAATTAACATGTCAATGTTATTTTCGTTTTGTAACCTATAAATTAATGATGATATAATAAATGTTTTGTAATAAGTACCAGGATCTCGGCTCCGACTACCTATTTACAGCCTTTGGAGTCGAAACTCATGGCCCGTGGGGTCCCAGTGCCCTTCACTTCACCCGTACATCGGGATTTGTACAAAATTTTATATAAAAAAATAATCTAGGAAACCCAAGGGCCGACAAGTTCCTTGCCTAACGCATTAGCATGGCAATACAAAGGAGGAACGCTGCCAGCATCCTGGTCCCCTTGTCTCGGGGACCCAATTTCATTCAAATAATTTAAAAACCTTACTTTCTAGTATTTAAGATTTTATTGTCTTTTTTACCTTACCTGTATACTATCAAAATAAAAATATTTTTATACATGTTCCGTGAAATTTTCTAAAATATCTATTGAAATTGCATTTTAATTATAGTTGTGTTTTATGTCTTCAAAATAATATAAAACACTTAGCACATCCTATATTTACACCGTTCAGAATACGCCAGAAAAATAAAATTATAAGAGAGAACTTTTGTTTCAAAGATCAAATACACTAAAATCTATCGACTTTACCTCATCTATATGACAAACTTTAAATGAAGTGTCACAAGGACCATCTTAATATACGTTATAACTGCTTTATTTCTGAAGCAGTATACTCTTTGTGTAAGCGTTCGTACTGGGAATTACTGACATTATAACTATTTCTAGAGATGGGCATTTAAACGATAAGCACTACTAAGTGCCTGTTTGTTGTGCACTACTAAATGTTTTCTAAACAAATTGATTCGTCAATGTGAATAATAATTTTATAAATAAAAATAAAACTCGTGTTTTACAAATAAACTTACTTATCTTAAAACCTTTAGAGGTCTACTCTTGCTGTTCGCTATAAACACAACGTTGCAAGCTTATTTTAACATTAAAGTCTATGCGCTAAAACGATTTTCTAAGCTTCAAACTAAAAAGCGTTTAAAAGCACGCTTTTTTAAAAAGCGCAAGCGCAAAAAAAAAAGCAGTTTTTCCACTCTCTACCTATTTCTGCCGCCAAACAGTAATAAGAGCACCACTGCGTTCCAATTTTGAAGGGTTTCTGTGTCTTTAGACAGCAAATGGCAGGATTTTGTACGTTTATGTAAGTTAAGAGTAGCTAGCCATCGAACTACTGTTGAACTGACATTGTTATCCTGTTTTTCAATGACGAGTCGAAGGTGTCTACTAATACATATTTAATTTGAAGATTAAATTGCTGATTAAAAATTAATTTTGCCATGTTAGTTTTAGCAAGGTAACATCGATCGTTAGAGATTGAATGCATAAATGTCATTTCTGCTATTCCACTGGCACTCTATTGTCACTCAACTGCCATTGCAACTAGGTTTTAAGCAGAATAACAAATATATTGTCCTAATTGCAATATGATCTCAGTGGAGTCCCAATGGAATTACAATGACCAGTGATTTCAATAACATTGGCAGACTTAATAACAACTTACTGATACAGACTTAGATCAGCAACAAAAAACCAACATATTTACATAAACAAATGTCTCTGGAGTTACATTTGTGCGCGCGAAGCCACGTGCTGCTGGCGCGTGACGCGGCGCGCACGCAGGTACACCGAAATACACCGGTGCTGCGCGTGATTACACTCATCAACTCCGTTCTCGAGGCGGCACGTCATACTGATTTATTTGATAGCACGATTGGATATCTGATGAGTGAATGTAGGAAAGCAATGATATTATATAGGAAAGTATTTGAACAAATGACGCCTGTAAGTTCAGTTCTGTGAAATGTGTCATGTTTATTTCATTTAATTTTATTTTTTATTTTCGTTGTTTCTGTGTTTGTAGCGATTTGGACTTTTGTCTGTTAAGTTGCAAATGTTGAATAAATTACATGACATTATAAATTTTGAAAATAAAACAAGAATGAGACGTAGTCACTTAGTGCGGGCCTCATAAAAAAGCTCGAAGTCACTCAACGAGCTATGGAGCGAGCAATGCTCGGTATTTCTCTACGTGATCGAATCAGAAATGAGGAGATCCGTAGAAGAACGAAAGTCACCGACGTAGCCCAAAGGATTAGTTGAAGTGGCAGTGGGCTAGGCACATATCTCGAAGAACTGACGGCCGTTGAGGCAGAAAGGTTCTCGAAAGGACACCACGAACCGAGAGGCGTTCAGTGGGACGGCCCTCTACTAGAAGCTAACCGATGGAAGCACGTTGCGTCCGACCGGCTAGTCTGGCAATCTTTGCGGGAGGTCTATGTTCAGCAGTGGAGGTCTTCCGGCTGATATAATGATGATGAATTTTACCACGTAAACTGAACTTCATGGACTCTAGCTGGTTCCTTATAGGCTCATAGGCTTTCAGTATAAATAAGGTTCCCAAACGCTATAATCAGTCATTACCAGCCAACGATAGATACATTCAAGTATAATAAACATTGACTTACAATTATATGGACGTCGGGTCCGCGCTAAAAAGTGTCCGAACTTATAGGGCGTTAAAATCGTATACATAGCGTCATTCACGCTTTACTCTTCGTTTGTTCGACCGACAGCGAAGCAAGCAAAATTAGACAGTACTGCGATGACATTACAATTTAAATTCAACGTTTTAGCTTTTTCATATTCCTTTACATGTCACTACGTTTAAATAGGTTGACTTGGGACATTTTTTTCGTGGTTTTTGTATTAGACCCGTCGTCCATTTATTTGTAAGTCAATGATAATAAATAAACCGTCATGGAACACCTAAAACATAAAAAAACAAATATCTTTTTTAAGTTTATTGATTGTAGACTCCGACGTTAGGTCAGCTGGTTCGTAACGTGGCTTAGTTGGTATAGCGTCTGACACGGTTTCAGCCAGTCGGTCAGTCGGATCGAAAGGATTTTTTTCTAAGATTTAGATCTTTGTATAAATAAAAAAATAGTGCAGTAATTTTACAAAGATATTTAAAAATCATGGTGGTTAAATATCGTGAGATCCAATAAACTTAAAAACAAAATTATTAAAGCGACTTCTCTGGTCAGCTGCTGGTAGCTGTAAAGGTGCTTGACAGGGTGAAGAAATGGACTTCTCACAGATAGCGCTAAGGCAAAAAGCCGTTAAAAACCAAACATAACGATCTGCTGGTTGCACATAGAAAAATTCGTAAGATACGCTAGTTCGCCGTGGCTTAGTTGGCACAGCGTCTGAATCCAGCCGGAAGGAAGGAATTTTTTCTAAGTGTTCGATCTTTGTATAACTTAGATATCGCAAATGGAAGATCGCAGGCTCTGTTTATCCCAGAAGCAGACAGGTGTTACGTTTTGTTTTTAATGTACATATACGTATCTTCACGCCTCCTCTTGTCCTCCACTTGCTACGCTCCTGTCAAACCTCCTTCGCCTCCTCCACTCTCCTCAGTCTCTTCATTATGCCCGTTTGTTTTTGGTATTTTTAACCCGGCCTTTTTATGGACATCTTCAAACTGATTGTGATACGTACGCCGATGTCGACCACTCCCACGGCTCATCCACGTTCGCTTTATAAATTTGTGCCAATAAATTGCCAACATTTTTTTTACAATATCAAGTGACTGGACGAACATGTCAGCTATACCCCTGTCCATAACAGTTGCAGTGTCACTCAGAGCTTTAAATCCGCAAATATGGCCACTGCGCCCAGCACCCTGAGACATAAATTGACAAGCCCCATTTGCCTGTAATTTCACCAGCACCCTTACCTTTCAAAACTGGAACACAATAATACTAACATTAATGCTTGGCGGCAGAAATAGGTACTTTCCTGGACGAATTCTGTCACACAGAACTCTACTACTACTCTATCTATCTACATAACCAAATCTTCGAGAGCATCCCCCTCCCCTATATTGGTCACTACATCATTTCATACCACAACGCTCTCTTACTACATTGTTTCCAAGATTAATATCGCATGTATTGCGCACAGCTCTCATTTTTTTGGATGTATGTTACGCGATAACCCCTGTATTTGTGAACCGATTTTGATGATTCTTTTTTTGTTGGATAGAGGATACCTCAGATGTGGTCCCATTTAAATTTGAAGAAAATATTCCACCTCTAAGGTTTGCAAACTAGGGGATGAATGACTTTTGAAGTCCGTTTTTTAGTACTCTGTAATGAGATTATGTGTTTAATGTATGACTCGATATAGTTCTATATAAATGGAGGCAAAACACTTATTCACGTATACTGGTTTATTTCAGATTGTCTGATAATGCTACTAAATGTAGTTATGAATATTAAATTAATAAGATCTCAGAGCTACTATGATCCAGAGCTTAGGATAGAAGAAGATCCACATTATTACCAGCAGCCAGCGTCACCAACCTACGACAACGAGCAAGAACGTGTTG